CTCTGTAAGAGGATCTCATGGTCGACAGTGTCAAAGGCAGCACTTAGATCTAACAAGATTAAGATTGAGACTTTGCCTGTGTCAGTGTTCAGCCGGATATCGTTTGTAACCTTGACAAGAGCAGTCTCAGTGCTGTGGTGGGGTCTAAAGCCGGACTGAAACATATCAAATGAGTTGTTGATTATAAGAAATCTAGTAAGCTGTAGGTAGACAACTTTCTCAAGGACTTTCCCCATAAATGGCAGATTTGAGATGGGACGATAGTTGTTAAGTACCGTAGCATCGAGACTGCTCTTTTTTAGCAGGGGCCTGATGACTGCAGTTTTCAGGGCCTTTGGGAATATTCCAGAATGAAGGGACATAATTACTATCTTTGTGAGTGAAGGTATCAGACTGCTCAGAACAGACTTCAGAAATCTAGTGGGTAGTACATCCAAGCTGCATGTGGAGGAGCTCAAACTGGAGATTATCTCTTGGACAGTTTTATCATTTACAGGTGCAAAGTGAGTTTGCTCAAAGAGCCTTTCTGGCTGTTGGATGGTTATCTGTGGATTGGAGACAATGGCGTTTTTGATGCCTTGAACCTTGTCATTGAAAAAATTAGCAAACTCATTGCATTTACGTTTGGAAGTAAGCTCTAATGGCATTTGAACAGGGGGGTTTGTTAATCTATTAACTGTTGAGAACAGAACACGCAGATTGTTGCTGCAGCCTTCAATCATTTCAGAAAAATACCTTTCTCTCGTACTACGTAGCACCCGGTTAAACTCGCACAACTTATCTTTGAAGATCTCGTAATCAACCTGGAGGTTGGACTTGCGCCACTTCCGCTCGGCCCTCCGGCACTTTCTCTTTTGTGCCCTGACCGAGTCTGCTTCAGCCCACGGCGCCTTCTGCTTATTTTTCACTATTTTAACCTTCACAGGGGCAACGGTATCCAGAACATTCAAAGCACTAGAGGTGACAGAGTTTAACAGTTCATCTACAGTAGAATACGATGCATTCTCAAAGTTTATCATTCCCATAAATAGTTCACTCGTATTTTCATTTATGTGTCTTCTTCGTACAGTTGCAGAGTCCACTGGTGGTTTGTTAGTGAAACACATGTCAAAAAATACACAGAAATGATCCGAAAGAGCAACATCGACCACGTTTACATTTGAAATAATCACCCCCTTTGTAACTAACAGATCTAGAGTGTGCCCTCTGCTGTGGGTGGGGCCACTTACGTGCTGAGTGAGATCAAAGGATTCAAGTACAGAACTCAGCTCATTTGCATTTCTGTCATCAACATTATCCACATGAATATTGAAATCACCTGTAATAACCATACTATCAAAATCTGTGCATACAACTGAAAGCAACTCGGTAAAATTATCAATAAAACTGTGACATGACTGCGGTGGCTTGTATAAGATAAGATAAGATAAGATAAGATTGCTTTATTTATCTCACAGAGGAGAAATTTACATGTCACATTTGGCATGGATAGAGACACTCAGATTGTGCAAAGGGAGGAAATGTGCAAACATGTTACATGCAGGATATATGTACAATAAAGTGACAATAATTATGTACAACAAAAGTGACAAGTGTCAATTGGAAACAGTGTCAATAGTAGTGCAGGTTTTCACACAGTGATCATTTAAAGTGACTTATTGTACAGTCTGACAGCGGTGGGGATAAAGGCCCTGCGGTAGCGCTCCTTCCTACACTGAGGTTGCCTCAGTCTTCCACTGAAGGAGCTCCTCAGCTCCTCTACAGTCCTGTGCAGTGGGTGGGAGGTATTGTTCATGATGGAGGTGGCTTTGGCTAGCACCCTCCTGTCCCTCACCTCCTCCACAGAGTCCAGGGAGCAGCCCAGAGTGGAGCTGGCCCTCCTGACCAGCTTGTTCAGTCTGTTTCTGTCCCGCTCTGTGCTGCCCGGGGCCCAGCACACGGCAGCGTAGTAAATGGCAGAAGCTACCACAGAGTCATAAAAAGTCCTAAGCAGAGGCCTGCTCACTCCGAAGGACCTCAGCCTCCTCAGAAGGAAGAGGCGACTTTGGCCCTTCTTGTGCAGGGCGTTTGTATTATGGGGCCAGTCCGTTTTATTGTTAATGTGAACACCCAGGTACTTGAAGCTGTCCACCAGCTCAATGTCCTCCCCCTGGATGTTCAGCAGCGTGTGGGAAAGTGGTTTTCTCCTGAAGTCGATGATCATCTCCTTGGTCTTACTGGTGTTCAAGCACAAGTGGTTGCGCTCACACCAGTCGACAAAGTCGACAAAGTCCTTGATAACCGACCGATATTCCAGTTCGTTCCCTTCAGACACACAGCCCACGATGGCGGAGTCGTCGGAGAACTTCTGCAGGTGACAGCTGTGTGTGTCGTGTGTGAAGTCTGAGGTGTAGATGGTGAAGAGAAACGGTGAGAGGACAGTGCCCTGAGGGGCCCCAGTGCTGCAGACGACCACCTCAGACTCACAGCTGCGCAGCCGCACGTACTGTGGTCGGTCTGAGAGGTAGTTGATGGTCCATGCAGTGAGGCTACTGTCATTGTATAGGACAATGAAGAGTATTGGAGGAGATTGTTTTTGTTGTATTTTAAAAGACACATATTCAAATGATGAAAACTTCCCAAGAGACATTCTATGGGAGACAAAGTGGTCTCTAAAAATGGCAGCTAAGCCTCCTCCTTTTTTGTTTTCCCGTATTTCAGATTCAAACTTGAAATTTGGTGGTGAGGCTTCTATTAAAACTGCATTTCCTGAATTTTGGTCAAGCCAAGTTTCAGCCATGAACATAAGATCAAGATTATGAGAACAAATAAAATTATTGATTAAAAAAGACTTGTTACAAAGAGATCTGACATTAAGCGTAGCAAGTTTCAAAGTTTCAGTATCAGCGGTTGTGGTCGGCTGATTCTTACACGGAACAAGAATTAGATTTTCCAGATTAGATTGATTAACTCCAGATGTTTTTCTGTAATGTATTCTTTGTGTTATCACTAAGGGAATGGCACAGGTGGCTTCATGACAGGGCCCCAGCCGGGTCTCTCCTCTAACTAGACTGCCAGTGGCTGCGAAGCAGAGACCCTGTGCATCCTAGTGTTTAGAGAAAAGAGGGGAAGGGGAAGGCGGGGGAGGAGGATGGAGAGGTGGGTGGCTTTTGGGTGTTGAACGAGGGGGGCAGGGAGGTGGAGGGGTTTTTGGTGATGGGTTAGGGCCGGGGTGGGCTGAGGCAGAACGAGGGGGAAGTGGGGGTGGAATGGTCATGAGGGAGGAACTTTCTCTCGTTGCGTTTTAAAAGAGAAAACAGATTCCAACGTTCATAGTGATGTCTGCCGTTCATGACACATAAAATGAACTAATTCACGTTCAAGTTCTTTTTTTAAAAATGTGTTGCGTTCAGTTCAATGTTCACAAAAAAATGAGCGTGTTCAATGAACGCGTTCTTTTGAACTCGTTCACGCACAACACTTCTCCTATGTGCCCTTCTGGGTTTCTCCTTTGGCCCCCTGTATCTCCAACTACATATTGTTTGTAATCTCTGTCTACAATGTATCTGAACTAGTCCTTTTTCTGTATATGTGTTTGTCTGCAATAAAAAGTAAAAAAAAAAAAAAAAAAAAAATATTTATTGCGCAATAAAAAAAATGACGCCGTTAATATTGATTTGCGTTAACGCGTTAATAACGCGATATTTTGGACAGCACTACTTTAAACAGACTGCATATAATACTACATGCATCTGTTTTACATGTATATAGAGCTTTTTTGGACACTCAAAGACGCTTCACTGTGTCAATTAAATGGGCACTTTATTTATCCCTCTAGGGAACGTTGTGCTCTGCATTTGATCCATCCTGTAATGCCAGAAGCCTGTCAGGAGCAGTGCTTGCCGTAGAACCCATCTCCAGATATTGATGCTTTGTTTGGTCAGGACTACTAATAGGATATACCTATTATGCATGTTCATACTGGTAGTGGAAACTGGAGCACCCAGGCAAAACCCACGGATACACAGGGAGAACATGCAAACCCCACTCAGAAAGGCCCTGTTCCGACTGGGATTTGAACCCAGGACCTTCTTGCTGAGAAGCCCGACTGTGACACCTGGTGCTCCCCGAGGTCTCCCATAACTATACTAACCAGGCCCTGCCCTGTTTCGTGCCATAGGTCTGATGGGGTCTTGCTTTTACATGCAGGTGGCACCATAATGCCATCATTTTACATGTTGCAGGTTTTCAGGCAACCACAAAGTAAACAAGTAAACAATTGAACTCATCTTAGTCATGGAATAGTCATGAATTTAGTCGTGGAAATATGCAGGAACACACTCTACAATTCTCAAATTCTTTAGATGGGATTTTGTATGTCCTCAAGACAGTACTGGAGAGATGGTTTTAGAATTGAATGTTGCATCATAAAAAGTTCAGTTTCGATCACAACTTCGGGCTCAAAGTTTATAATTTGACTTTGGACAGCTGTCGAAGATATGACACAATGAGTAGTTACCCAGCAACCAGCTAAACAAGCACCAACGCTTGTTTCAATTTGCTAATTAATTGAAAAGTAAAAATACAGACACCTTTATTTGGTTCAATTCCTTTTGAAAGTTATTTAGCTTGTGAGGAAATTGTCTCAGTATTTTGCTTAGAAATGTGTGTGTACTGATAATGTGGAGCATTTCCATTTGGAAGTGTGCTTGTATATTTTTCAACACCCAACATTTTCTTTTTTTCATCCCAAACTGCTGCTGGACTGATGTAAAACTACTATAAAAGTCTACTCCAGTTGCACTCCTAGCAAGCAATCATTTGGAGAGAAACGTCTCTTGCCGTATGCATTCATGTTTTCCTTGTGTCTGATTGGAGGTTTTGTCATTTCAAACCAGCTTGCAGCCGACATAATTGCCCATTTATTCATTCCACATCTCTCTGTCTCCTTCTTTCCAAAGGTCGTTTTCGAGGCCGCGGTTTCGGAGGACCGGCAAGGCTACATTGCGCTGGACGACATCATGCTGCTCAATTACCCTTGCAGTAAGTACCCCATTGTCCGCCGCTCACACCCCGACACCCCCCTACCCCCCTGACCTTTATGGAGCATGGGGCGACAGAGGGGAGTCCAGGGGATGGATGACTCTCTAGACCGGTCAGGTGTCGGCTAGGTCTCGTGTCGTAGCGACAATCACACAGCTGGACACGTTTCTTTTGTCCCGGTCCAATGGCCGACCTTTGCCAATGACTGTGCATCATCAGGATTGCAAGTGTAGAAATATGAGTCGAGTTTTGTTTTAAGTTACCTGGCTTTCCTATTATTATTGAAAAAAATATTCAATCAAAACTTTGTATTACCAAGACTTGTGGAATTGTGCTAATCTTTTTTATATCAATCAATGAATACAGTACACTTGAAAAAAATCGAATGAATACGATAACACTTTATCCTAATTGTTAAAGCTTTTTATCCATTCAAGTTAATTCAAACAAAAAACTATTTAAATACATTGATGGGTTCTGTTTTCATAAAAAAATTAGAAATACAAATACAAAAAAAAGGACTTTTGACTTTCTACATCAGCCAAAACTATTTCTTAAATTCAGATTCTTAAATTGGACAAAATTATTGCTACTTTATTGCGAGAAAAAAGGCTGAAAGCCTGATCAATATTGGTAAGAGCGAGTCTTGCATTTACAATAGTTGTGAGAATGTAAAGGAGACATTCTGAAATATTAAGTGAATATTTATAATTCAAAGCCCTACCCACCTTTTCAATCAATGTTCCTCACAGGACGATAATTTGTGAACTTAAACACCATAAGTGTCTGTAATAATCTTAATCAGTTTGTAACACCAACGCACCAATTGTATGTATATATTTTATCAAAACTATTTACTCCACTGATCTATCCTATATATGCCTAAAAGGAAAACAAAAATCTAAACATAGGCAAAATTGGGATTCGTCCTTCAACTACAAGCAATGCGGTGCAGGTGCAGTTGTCTCCGTGTTATTGCTGTACATGGTCATTCTTTTTTTTGTTTTTTTTTTTTTTATTTAAACAAAACAACATGAACATACATACATGGGGGGGAAGGGGGGGAAGGAGGGGGGGTCTTCCATGTTTGTGCGTGTGTGTGTGTGTGTGTGTGTGTGTGTGTCTGTGTGTTACTTATTATTTACTTTATATTTTTATAATAGAAAAAACAAAAAAACAAAAAAACAAAAAAAAACAAAGACAATTAAAATATATATATATATATATATACAAACAGCAATAGCGACAATGGCGATGATGAAGATAATAATTATGACCATACTAGCGTCCTTAACAGTAGCATTATTACTGGCACTCTTCCGACAGCTTTCCTCAATAGTTTGTCTGTGATTGTGTGGTGTATTAAAAAGAAAAATATCTGCGTGAGGTGTTGTGCATTAAAAAGGCATGTGCCTGGGATGCTTGTGGGAGGAGTCCATATATTTATCATACAATCTGTATTAATTAAATTAAACAATATTACTTATTATTGTTGCTTCCTCACCATCACCGTTCCCCATTGCTTATTCTACATATTCAAATATGATATATCTTGTATGTGTAAATACTAATTATATAATTTATAATATTAATAGTTAAGCAGAAACTGTACGAAAAAAAAAAATAATAATAATAATAATAATAATAACACAAGTGAGCAAAAATAAAGAGAGAAAAAAATAAGATAAATCCACAATAATAATCATTATAACAATAATATATAATAATAATATGAAAACTAAATTAACATTAAAATAAAAATAGAAAATAAAAAATAAAAGTAATAATAATAATCATAACAATTCAAATTATCGTAACAATAATAATAACAGTGACAATGCAATTAGTTAATTTGTAAGATAAAGTATGAGTTTGTTCCAGTTGCTGGGTGTTTCAGTAATTCTGTGATTGGTGGATGTTTGTTCAAAGGATAAGTGTTCTAGGAGGAGATCTTTCCACTGTGAAGTGTTGACTTTGATTTTTTTTTTCCAGTTGAGGAGTATTGTTTTTTTTGCAATTGTTAGTGCTATCAGGGTAAGTTGTTGGTCTGCTGGGTCTAAGGTTAGAGTGGATGTGTCGCCGAGTAGACAGTGTAAAGGGCTGTGGGGGATGCAGTGGTCCATAATGGTTGAGAGGGTTTCTGTCACTTCTTTCCAGAATTGAAGAACAGGGGGGCAGAGCCAAAAAGCATGTATGTGCGTGTCAGTTGAGTTTTGTGTGCAGTTGGTGCATTTGTCTGTACATGAGCTGAATTTTGACATTTTCTGTCCGGTGAGATGTGTTCTGTGTAATATTTTGTACTGTATCAGGTGAAGGTTTGCGTTGTCAGACATGTTGTAGATGTTGTTACATATTTGGGTCCAGAAGCTGGCATCAGGGGCAATTCCAAGGTCTGTTTCCCATTTTTCTGTTGGTAAGGTGATTGTATAATTTGAATGGATGATGATTCTGTAGATGTTGGCAGTTATTTTTTTTGGGGTCTTGATATTTAGTAATCTTGTAATTGGTGGGGGGAGAGTGAGATCTATATTTTTTGTGTCATATGATTTTTGGATGATTGATTTTAATTGATGGTACTCGAGATATTGTGTGTCCCTGATGCCAAACTTCTGGACCAGGTGCGAGAATGAAACCAGTGTGTTGTCATGAAAAATGTGTTGTAGGTGTGTGATGCCTGCCTCTGCCCATGTACGAAAATGTAATGGTTTCTTGAACTGTAGGAGGTCTAGGTTGTTCCAGATGGGGGTGAAGATGGATGGTGTGGGAGTGGTGTTAGTGATTTTATAAAATTTCCACCAGGCTGTCAGAGCTGATGATATTGTATAGAATGTGAAGCATGGGTGTCGTTTAATTGAGCTGCTGTGAAATGGAAGGTCAGATAATGATATATTTCCACAGATTGTCTGTTCAATGTCGGACCAGGTATTGTCTGCAGGGTGTGGGTGTGTCCATTTATAAATATATTGCATATGAATTGCTGTCGAGTAGTGAGTGAAGTTTGGTGCGCCAAGTCCTCCTTGTGATTTGGGTTTTTGTAATGTTGTGAGCTTTATTCTGGGAGTTTTGTTTTTCCAGTAAAATTTTGATATGATAGAGTTAAGGGATTGGAACCAGGATGATGTTGGGGTGATTGGGATCATGGAGAGAAGATAATTTATTTTGGGGAGAATTGACATTTTGATAGTTGCTATTCGACCAATGAGGGATAGGGGTAGATTCATCCAGCGTTGAAGGTTGTCTGTGATTGATTTGAGGAGTGGAGTGTAGTTTAGATGAAACAGCTCTGACAGCCTGGGGGAGATCCTAATGCCAAGGTAGGTAATATGTTTAGATATGGGAATGGGAGGGGGATGGACCACTGCATCCATGCTGTCATGTTGTACAGGGAGTATGGTTGATTTGTGAAGGTTGATTGAATAGTCTGAGATATTTGAGAATTGTTGTATAAGTTTGATTGTTTCTGTTAGGGATGTGTATGGGTGTTGCAGGTATAATAATATATCATCGGCATAAAGGCTGATTTTATGGTGTCCAGTGGGTGTCTGAATTCCGGTGATTTTTGGGCTTTGGCGGATTGCTGCTGCTAGTGGTTCAATAAATATTGTGAAAAGTGCTGGAGAGAGTGGACATCCTTGCCTGGTTCCTCTGTGGAGAGTGAATGGTTGTGAGATTATTCCATTTGTTGTTACTGTAGCTGTGGCTGAGGTGTGTAGAATTTGTATCCAGTTTATAAATGACTCCCCAAAGCCAAATGTTTGTAATGTTGATATTAGAAAAGACCAGTTTACTCTGTCAAACGCTTTTTCCGCATCCAGGGAGATTATTGTGGTTGGGGTTTTTTGTGTGTTTGAGTATTGCATTAAGTTGAAAAGTCTGCGAGTGTTATTGGATGAGTGTCTATTTTTGATAAATCCTGTTTGGTCAGGGTGAATGATGGTGGGAATTACCTTTTCAATTCTATGGGATAGTACTTTTGTGATGATTTTCAGGTCTACGTTGATAAGGGAGATGGGACGGTAGTTTGATGGTTGGTTGAGGTCCTTGTTAGGTTTTGGGATAAGTGATATTGTAGCATTATTCATGTGAGTGGGTAGTTGTGATTTTTCTTTTATTTCAGCGATGAGTCTAAGGAATAATGGGGAAAGAATAGTCCAAAATTGTTTATAGAACTCAGCAGGGAAGCCGTCCGGGCCAGGAGTTTTGTTGTTGGGCATTGATTTTATGGCAGTGTGGAGTTCATCTTTGTCAATGGGCGCATCAAGCATACCCATTTGGTCTTGTGAAAGTTTTGGAAGACTAATATTGTTTAGGAAAATGTTTATGTCTGATTGGACAGGTGTGTTCTCTGATGAGTAAAGTGCTGAATAAAATGTTTTAAATATATAGTTTATTTCCTCCGGTGATTGTGTTGGCTTCCCTGCTGAGTCCTCTATACTTACTATGGTTGATTTTTCTTTGTTTTGTTTTATTTGATTGGCTAGGTATTTCCCTGATTTATTATTATGATGAAAATTTTCTTGCCGGAGTCTCTGAATCATAAATTGAGATTTTTTATTGGTGATGTTATTCAGTTTGTAGTTATAATGTCTTAATTCATCTTGTGTTTTTTCTGAAGGGTTGTTTGCATTATCGGTGTGTAGCTGTTTTATTTTTTGTTCTAATTCATTTTGCTCCTGTTGTTCTTCTTTTTTTTTATATGTTGAAAATGATATAATGATTCCCCTTAGTACTGCCTTACCTGCTTGCCATAAGATTGAGGGAGATGACTTTGGAGAGTCATTTATTTCCATGAAGGACGTCCACTCTCTCTGAATAAGATTATTGAAGTCTGAGTCTTTAAGGAGTGATGTATTTAGGCGCCATCTAGTGGTTCTTTTTTGGGGAGTCAAATTATTCCAGGTGAACGATATAGGGGCATGGTCACTGATTATGATAGGATGAAGTATGGAGTTTGAAATTTTTGATATTAATGAGACAAGGAAGTAATCGATTCGTGAGTA